TTGCTCTACTGTGGGGCTGTCACAGAGATAAACATCTTTGTTAGATTGATCATCTAGACTCCTTGGGTTCATTTCACATGGTAGACAGCTATGGTCTTTACCACGTTCAGACCATGGCTGTTGATGTGCTCTCTTCATCTGGAATGTTATGCCACTCTTTTTAGCTTGAGTGCAACTGTGCCCTTTCAGTAAAGGTTAGCTGAGAGTTGGTAGAAGCTTCCCTTCTTTGACTTTCTCAGGGTTTCAACTCTGAGATTTGCTGCCTCCAGACAGAAGGTAGAAGTCTTTCCTCTTCTGATTGACATTTCTTCCTGGTTCAGGGCAATTTGTGGTAGACTCTAGTCTTACTTTTGGTGATCAGCTAGTTAGTTATACTTCCCAGACTCCTGTTGGGGTCTTAGGTAGATGAGTTACTGGGAAGGTAGAGAGGCAATCTATGTCTGATAGGCAAACTGTTGACTGCTCATCTTTTCGTATGCATTTGGGCTACTTAAACCTCAAACCATTTCTAAGCTGTACGGTGTTTCCTTTATATCTCATAGGACTTCCCCTTTGCACTTTAATGTCCCTATCTTTTGCCTCTTCCAACTTACAATTTTACTAAATTCCAATAGAGCACACCCTTGCATACATCTATAACAATGTCTGATAGATAGACAGACAGACATTCAGACAGATGGACAGATAGATAGATAGATCTCACTTTTTGAGATCTTTTTCCCCACTCATTTAGACCCTTGTTCTCTTTGAGATGTCTTGAAAATTAATTCCCAAGTATATTTAAAAGTGACTCACCTCCAGAGTAGACTTCTTCTATCTGCATCTAGTCAGTTTACTTTTTTCTTTTTTTGCCCCAATTACATGTAAAAAGTTTTTAACTGTTTTAGTTAATTAATTGATTTGATTTTTAACTGCTTTTAATTCATTTTTAAAAAATTGAGTTCCAAATTCATTCCCCACTTGTCTCTTTCTTCTCCCCCACTTGAGAAGGCAAGCAATTTGATATAAATTATATATGTGCAGTCATGCAAAACATATTTTCATATTAGCTGTGTTGCAAAAGAAAACACAGACCAAAAAAAGTCCAAGAAAAAAACATTTTTTAAAAAAAGTATGCTTCAGTCTGCATTCTGATTCCATCAGCTCTTTCTCTGGAGGTGGATAACATTCTTCATCATGAATTCTTCAGAATTATCTTGGATCATTGTATTGCTGAGAATAACTAAGTCATTTGCAGCTGATCATTGTACAATATTGCTGTTACTGCATGTAATGTTCTCCTGCTTCTGCTCACTTCACTTTGCATCAGTTAAAACAAGTCTTCTCAGGTTTTTCTGAAACCGCATCTGGTCAGTTTCAGTTGCTTTTCCTGGTTTCATATTCTTGGGAGTCTTACTACTTCCATATCAGGTAAAGTGGTAGAGTCCAAATGTTGTATTTCAGCTATCATCTATAAGGAAATTAGATCACTATAAAATACTAGCAAAGACTGATTTCATTTGGGGAATGTTTGTTTTTCTCCTCTTTTCACGTATAGATGCTCTAGAATGATCTGGTTTAGCTGGATGTCGTGACTAAATTTCTGAAGTATCATTTTCTCCTTAACTATTTTTGATGCCATTTTGGAGGTGATTATGTTAATCAGCTTGTATAAAGTTGATCAAATAAACAAGAACAGCACAGTGATATCACCAAATGACATCAGCCATCCTGTAGCATTGGAGGTATGAGTCTCTCCTCTAGGTGCCATGGCCAGATTATATTCTATGTGAATACTCCTTCATGCAAGTGCCCTGGGCACATATATTCTCCCAATGTGCTTTGCCCAAATATAGTCACTACACATGTGACTCTTCCCACTGAATGTGAGTATATTTGTGTGTGAGTAAACTAAATATTTAGAGGGGAAATGATTTATTATAATTTTTATTTTTATATTATTTTGTTTAATGTCTTGATTTGAACCAAGCAGTTGGTTCAAATTGTTTAGTGATTGATAAGTAAAAGTAAACAAAGTAAGGGGCAGCTAGTTGGCACAGTGAATGGAGCAGGGCCTACAGTCAGGAGGACCTAGGCTCAAATCTGGCCTCAGATACTTGATACTTACTAGCTGTGTGACTCTGGGCAAGTTACTTAATCCCAATTGCCTAGCCAATAAATAAATAAATAAACAAACAAACAGATAAATAAATAAATAGATGAAGTAGTGGGGGATTCATGAGCTTTTGTTTGCATAGTATTTTGGCCCACAAAGTTCTTACAACCTAGAATATCTTTCTGGGAATCAGTGAATGAGGGGAGTCTATACTATTATTTAAGTTTCTTTCAGAAAATGTGAGGCCAATGTCTTTTTTTTTAATTTCCCATTTTTTGAGCCCAACGCTTATTTAAACAAATTAGGTTAGAGATTATGTAATCACATACCAAGATTTTTTTCACCTTTATCAAGGAAAAAAAGGTGATCAGCAATGTCAAGGGCCTCAGAAAGGTTGAGGAGAATGAAAACTGACAAAAGACCAAGATATCTACTCTCCTCTCACTCTGCTGCTTCTCCTCCTGCCTATCTGAGCACTCTTTCTCAGGCTCTTTTGCTGGATCCTCATCCAGATCACACCCTCTAACTGTGGGTGACCCTCAGGGTTCTGTCCTGGGCCCTCTTCTCTTCTCCCTCTCTACTACTTCACTTGGTGATTTCATCAGCTCCCATAGATTTAGTTACCATCTCTAGGCTGACGATTCTCAGATTTATCTATCCTGGCCCAGCCTCTCTGCTGATCTCAGAATTTGCATTTTCAACTGCCTTTCAGAAATCTCAAACTGGATGCCCAATAGATGTCTGAAACTCAACATGTGCAAAAGAGAGCTCGTTATCTTTCCCCCAAACCATCACCCTTCCAACCTTCCTTATTACTATAGAGGGAAACACCATTCTCATAACCCCTCACACACTGCAACCTAGGTGTCATTCTCTATGCCTCACTATCACTTATACCCTACACCCCAAGGCCTATCAATTTCACCTTTGCAGCATCTCTAGAATATGTTCCCTTCTCTTCTCTGACACAATCACAACTTCATGCTAGGACTATTAAAATAGCCTGCTGGTGGATCTGCCAGCCTCAAGTCTCTCCCCACTCTAATTCATTCTCCATTCAACCACCAAAATGATTTTCCTAAAACACAGGTCTGATCATCTCTCTCTCTCTCTCTCTCTCTCTCACACACACACACACACACACACACACACACTCAACAAATTCCTGCACCTCCAGAATTAAATAAAAAAAGCCTTGAGGGGACAGCTAGATGGCACAGTGGACAAAGCTCTGGCCTTGGAGTCAGGAGGACCTGAGTTCAAATTCTGCCTCAGACACTTGACACTTACTAGCTGTGTGACCCTGGGCAAGTCACTTAACCCCAAATGCCTCACTAAAAACAAACAAACAACAACAACAAAAGGCCTTTGGCATTCAAAGTCCTGCATAACCTGACTCCCTCCTACCTTTCCAGTCTTCTTATACCTTACTCCCTGCCATGTCCAATTTGATCCGGTGACAGGGGCCTCCTCATCATTCCACAAACAAGACCCTCCAACTTTTATGTCCTGGCATTTTCTCTGGTTGTCCCCCATGCCTGGAATGCTCTCCTTCCTTATCTCTGACTATGGTTTCTCTGGCTTCTTTTTAAAATCCCATCTTCTAGAAGTCTTTCCCAACCCCTCTTAATTCTATTACCTTCCTTCTACTAATTTTTTCCTATTCATCGTGTAAATAGCTAGTTGTGTATAATTGTTTGCATATTGTCTCCCCCATTAGATTGAGCTGCTTGAGGGTAGGGACTGTCTTTTGCCTCTTTCTATAGCCTCACCCCAACCGTGCTTAGCACTTAATTGTTATTTATTGAGTAACTATCCTTTACCCCCACCTAATTTGGCATTTACTGTGACCTTTGCTCTAATCCTTCAAGGATCTGAATGCATAAAGAATGTTACATCTATAACCTATTGTTTATTATCTATTACTATCTATACGTTTCTGTTCTTACACATTATTCCCCTCCCTACACTCTTTGATCTAGCCATTCTGGCTTACCAACTGTTCCACACATAACTTTACATTTCCTGTTTCTATACCTCTTGTACTCCCTGCTCAGAATGCATTCTTCCTCACATCTGCCTCCCAGAATTCCTAGCTTCCTTTAAGATTCATATTCAATGCCACCTTCTACATGAAGGCTTCCCTAATCCCTCACAGTCCCCTCCACCTCCATCCCATGGCCACCATGTGTTCAGTTTGTATACATTATATATAAACTTAGATATGGACATATCATTTCCCCCATTCAAATGTAAGTTACTTTAGAAAAGGAATGCATTCACTTTTGTCTTTGTAGCAGCATCTCTTAGCAAAGTACCTGACAAAGAGTAAGCAATTAGTTAAATGTTTGCCACATTATTGAATGACTGACTGCTTACTACAACCAGAACTTTTCATCTCTCTGCTTGACAAAGTATTTATACTTGTGATTGATCTACTAGCCTAAATATTTCATTTCTTAATCCTGAACCACGTTTTCATGTGTGTGCTATGTTATATAAGGCTAATATAGATAATATTTATGTAGTACTTTAAAGTTTGTAAGCTTTACAAGTATTATCTCATTTTATTGTAATAGCAACCCTGGGAGGTAGATGCATCATTATCCCCATTTTACATATGAGGAAACTGAAGCAGACAGAGGTTAAGTGACTTGCCCAGGATTGCACAGTTAGTAATTGTTTGAGGCTGGATTTGAAAACTCAAATTTTCCTAATTCCAGACCCAGTCACTGTACCACTTAGCTACGTATATATGAAGTTTGTGCATGTGTGCGCCCCCTCCCCAATACCTAACTTCTACTTGAAGTCATAAACTATCATCTATTTGCTTATTTTGTTTGGAGGAGATTTTTAAGGTTTTTTGTAGAGTTTTTCTACTTTTTTATTGTCTCCAGAGGACACAATGGTGGCAACGGTTTTCGATGTGTTTACGATCAATGTGATCATTGCAAGGTGAGATGACCAAGTGTTCCATGAAATGTATTTTTGTTGCCTCTGGCCACAAAAATGAAACTAATTCTTGTCACTCCTTTGTCACTTCTCCAAGGAGAGTCTACAATTGATCTTTCTCTTTAACTGCTACTTAGCAGCCAGTTCAAATCAAAGCAATATACCCTCAGTGGTGTTGTTGTTTTTTTTAAATAGTCTTTTTGGTTGGAGTTAATCCTCAAAACACAGAATCTCAAAATTGGGAGGGACCTCAGAGATCCATTGACCCAGGCAAGAACAATACTCATCTCCTCCAATGGTTACTTAGCCTCTGTTCAAAGACCGTTAAAGGAGGGACCTCCGGGGGTATTATCTCCTAAGGCAGCCCTTCCAACTTTCCAACTTTTGGAAAGCCTTCATTGTTAGGAAAGTTTTCTTCCTATGTAGCTGACATGGCCCTCTGTGTGACTTTTACCAACTACTCATCATTACTCGTCACTACTCTGGCACCAAGCAAAATGAGCATAATTTCTCCTCCATGTGCATGACAGTCTTTCTTGAAGATGGTTATTATGTTCTTACGTGTCTTCTCTTCTCCAGGTTGAAAATGAGAAGTTCCTTCAACAGAGATCAGACAAGATTTTTTTATTGTGTTTTCCTATTATAGTTTGGGTTGTTTTTTGTTTTGTTTTTGGTCTGGACCTTTTGTTTCATTGGTGTGGAGAATTCTAATAAGGAATCTCCACCTACCAAAACAGACTATCTATGGTTCTGAAATTGATAGTATCAGAGAATTGTCAAGGTGAGGCAACATGCCCATCCCAACTGTTGTAGTTGTTTGCTCTTTGTTCTGGAAGAGGACTGTGACATCAGGCAGGTGATGCTGTGACTTACAAGTGAATTAAATTTAAGTGAGGGAGAGCTATGCAAAATCACCAGCCTCATTTTCTCCTCGAGCCATCTGGGTCCAGTGGCAAGATACAGATCAGGATGACTAGAGATGGCTCTGCCCAACTAGTACTCATCAGAGACCAGATTTGACTTCAGGTCCTCCTTCCTCCTGACTGTAAGGCCACCTTTCTATCCACTATACCATGTTGCCCTCATTCCTTCAACAGAAATCAGGCAAAATGATTAGCTCATGGTTAATTAATATTCTCCTCTGTCCACACATGACTCATGAAAGACTGTTAAGATACCATATGTAAGTGATGAATAAACCAATCTCTGAAGTCCCCAAACTATAATAGATTTCCAAGCCCTGTAGGGTATGGTAGTGTTTTTAAAATATGAAAAAAATATTTTTAAGGCTTACATCTGAGCCATAAACCACACTTGGAATCAAGTAATGGAAAAGTTTGTCATTCTTCATATTGGACAGTGATGCTACTGATCCATGGTAGACAGGATATGCAGTTTGGCTTGATGGTCCAAAGGGTTGCCATAAACCCATTAGTTGATGGGGAATCTGGTCCCTGACTATGACCTAGGTGCATAAATGGGCAAGGGTGACCAAGGTTACATAAGTTAAATGTTACAGTGTGATTATAAATATTTATTTTGTATAGTCATAGCCATGGTGCAGAACTATGCAGTGTAAAGGTTTCCAACACACTCCAGAAGTTGTTGACATTTTCACAGAGCAAAGTGAGGTATGGAATAGCTAAGTGATTTGTGCAAGGTCATGAAGAAAGTCAGGGAGGAACTACAAATAAGAAAGTGAAATTGAATCAGGGGAGGGGATGGGGGGGTATTCAACAACAGAAAGAAAAAGAGGGCTTTTCAAGTTCTGATTTCTGAGTCTTCAATGGGAGAAATGATTGATTTTTAGCATTCCACTTGAAAGAGCCACCATTTGAAGATGACTTAAGGGAACAATGAGGCTGGGAAGTAGGTGACATTGCTTTCCGCCTTCCATGATTACGCTTGTCCATGAGCTGTAATCAGAGCAAGCATGGATTCCAGCAAACACCGTTTCTCTATGTTGTTCCTAAGGATTTCTGAACAGGGTCTGTTCCCTTGTCAGAGCTTTTTCATCCTGGCTATTGTCAAAACTTTAGAAAAATACTTTCATTTTCAAGAACTCTTTAACTTTTGTAGAAGAGAGAGAACGCACCCTCTCTTTTCAAGTTGGGGTCAGTGGGATTTATTTCTTAGACACAGTAATAACGGGTCCCATTAATGAATCCTGGGTAAGCATCACAGAAACAGGATAGAGTTTTTTTCTTCAAAACATCTGTTCTTTTGTATCGCTCACCTAATAAAAATCATTGCTATTTCACCCTAGTGGGGGTTAAATACCAAGGTTGGAAGGAATCGTACGGAATATACAGTTCAAGGTCTTCATATGAAGGAGGAGGAGACTGATGTCCATAAGTGAGGTGTCATAGCTCCATAGGTCAAGAGCCAGAAAGGATATCAGAGGCTTACTTACTTTACAGATGAAGCCACTGAGGCCCAGGTCGTTAAATGATTTGCCCAAGGTCTCCCCAGTAGTGTCACAGGCAGGATTTGAATGCAGGTTCTCTGACTCCAGAGTCAGTGTTCTTTCCATTGTGCAATTCAACTTGCCCAAGTATACACTGCTAAGCTGTGGCAGAACAAGGACTACACCTCAGGCCTCCTAATTTCAGGTCAATTGCTCTTCCATATACAAGCTTCTTCAAACTTAGTATGATTACAATTTTTTCTCTACACTTTTCATTAAGAAAGATACATCTGGCTCTCTTGTTTTCCAAGTCCAATGGACTTTTCTCAGTCCTCACCCTTCTTGACTTCTCTACACCCTCTGACCTGGTCAATCGCCCTCTTCTCACTAGGTTTTGTTGACACCACTCTCTCCTGGTTCTCCTACCTGTCTGCTCCTTCTCAGTCTCCTTTGCAGATCTTCAGTCAGGTCACACTTGCCAAGCTTGGGGGTGTCTCAGGGCTCTGTCCTGGGCCCTTTTCTCATCTCCCACAATACTATTTGGCTTGGTAATCTCACCAACTCCTAGGGATTCAATTACCATGTGTTTGCTAATGATTCTCAAATATACTCATCCCTAACTTCTCTGCTGACCTCCATTTCACATCTCACTGGACATCTTGAACTGGACATATTAAACTCAACATGTCCAAAACCAAACTCATTATCTTTCCACCAAAAAGCCTCTCCCTGCTCTCTAATTTCCCTATTATTTGAAGCACACCACCATCCTCCCAGTCCCCCAGGTTCATAACCTAGGCGCTATATTCGTCTTCTCATTCTCTCTCATCACTCAGATCCAGTCCGTTGCCAAGGCCAGTTGATTTACCTTTGTAACATCTCTCACATATGCCCCCTTCTTTCCTATGACATTACCACCACCCTCGTACAGGCCCTTATCACCTCATGACTGGACCGGACAGTAGCCTGCTGATAGATCAGCCTGCTCCAAGCCTCTTCCTACTCCAGGCCATCCTCTACTCAGCTGTCAAAGTGATCTTAAAGCATTTAAGCCTAATCATGCCACTCCCACATACACACACACTCAATGGCTCCCTATCACACCCAGAATCAAATATAAAATCCTCTGGTGTTCAAATCCCTTCATAACTTGGCCCCCTCCTGCCTTTCCAGTCTTCTTACACATTGCCTCCAGGTTCTCTGTGATTTAGTAACCCAGGCATCCTTTCTGTTCTTCACACAAAACGCTCCATCTCCCAGCTCCTAGCATTTTCTCTGGCTGTCTCCTATGACTGGAATACTCTCCCTCTTCATCTCTGCCTTCTGGCTCCCCTGACTTCAAGTTTCAGCTAAAATCTCACATTCTACAGGAAGCCTATCCCAATCCCCTCAATTCTAGTGCCTACACTCTGTTGATTATTTCCAATTTATCCTTTATATAGCTTGTTTTGTACACAGTTATTCACATACTTTCCCCTCCATTTGACTGTGAGCTCCTTAAGAACAGGGACTGGTTTTTTGTTTTTGTTTTGGTTTTTTTTTTGCTTTTTTTTTTGGTGTTGTATTCCTAGTACAGTGCCTGGAGCATGGTGGATGTACAGTGTTTATTGACTAACTGAATTAAGGAACTATGTCATTGTCTCATCATGGCATAGAGGTCAACTTGGATTTTTCAAGGCTATGCCAGTGGAGGACGAGCTCTGGCAGATATTAACAAACTGTAGATACTTTGAGTGTGGGCTAAGCAACAAAATGTATGGTGATCAGTTATCACCAAACATGTACTAAGGACCTACTATGTGCCAGGCACAGTCCTAAACATTGGAGTTTTTTTGGACTGTAACTATAATTTCCTTGGTAAAGGGAGTTGCTTAATGATGCCACCCCCCTCTACCAATGTAGATGGGTGATCACTCTATAATTTATAGTCTTAGAGAGTTATTTGGGATACAGGTTAAGTAACTTGTCCATATTCAAACAGTCAATATGTGTCAATCAGTCAACAAACATTTATTAGGTGTTTTACTATGTGCCAGACATGATGCTAAGCACTGCCTCAGAGGCAAGGCTTGAACCCAGGTTTTCCTAACTCAAAAATCACATTTCTATCCAATACTTAAGTGGTCCCTAATGTTTTTTGTCCCACGAATCCTTTGAAACAATAACAATAAAGACATGTTGTGAACCCCTAGGAAAATTTAATATACAACTCATAATCTTTTTTATTTATTCATTAAGTACTTATGGTAACTACAATGATTTTTTAAAAGTTCCAAGTTAAAATTTACAAACATATAATGCTTCAAATATGCATAGGTTTGTTGTCACAGACAAAACATATATTTGTAACATAATTGGGCAATTATTTACTACTTAAGGGACCATCAAAGAATTTTTAGCATGGGGCCCATTGAACCATTAAATGGGAACTTCTGGACTACATCACAATGCCTCATTTGGAATACAAAGAAAAAAAATAGAATGGTCCCTGCTTTGTACATGAGAACCATTTTGACTAGACTCTATTACCAGAAGGCTGTTCATTGATAATCCTCCTTACCCTTTCCCCTTTGGTCACAGCAACTCAGGAGATAGT